CCTCTCTTTCTGCTGAATGCTCAGATATTGGAGTAGCTGTCACTGCTGTGAACTTCACTTCTTGTCTTCAAGTGGTGACGCTAAACCCAGTGCTGAGATGCGATGCCCGCTGGCAGGAGCTGGCTGAGAAACATCTCCTGTGGTATTGCAGGGCTTGGTGAAGAGGAGAGGAGACAATACAGCAGATTTCTCCTCCTCTTCCTCACTTGTATCAGCTGCGAGTTTTCTGGTTTTAACTGGCTGCCTTTGTGTTGTGCACAGGCTGACGCAGACAGCTTTTACATGGCATGCAACGGCCGGCAGTTCAACTCGATAGAGGAGGACGTTTGCCAGCTGGTGTACGTGGAAAGGGCCGAAGTCTTCAAATCGGAAGATGTAAGTTTGTTTTGTTTTGTTTTCTCCCTGCCTGCCCTTCAGGGAATTTCAACAGGATTATTTGGACTGGGCAGAATGCTGCAAGAGCTGCTTAACTGCATCAACCCAATCCCCATTTCCCATTCCAGCACCACTTGGGTGTTTATTTGGTGACTTCATGGGCTTTACTCATCGCCACTGCGGCGTCTCCAACCCAAACGTGCCGTGGGCTGTGGATCCGGTGAAGCCAGGACACAGAGCAGGGTTGGAGGCAGATGCTATGAGGATCCTGGCTGTGGTCTATTGAGTGTTGTGGATGACTTTGGTTTATTATTATTAATGTCTAACCACGATACAGACTCACAGGATTACTTTGTAGTGTTTTAATACCCTAGTGGCAGCTCTAATAGGAGAGAAGTTTGACTTTTGCTTATGTAGGTGCTTGATTTCTGGTGATTGGAAAGTGCTGAGCACTTGGGTCTCTGCTTGCCCTTTTGAAGGGGGCCAGCCTGCCTGTGATGGATCTGACGGAGCTCCCGAAGTGCACCGTGTGCCTGGAGAGGATGGATGAGTCCGTGAACGGGATCCTCACCACGCTGTGCAACCACAGCTTTCACAGCCAGTGTCTGCAGCGGTGGGAGGACACCACGTAAGAGGCTTTTCTTTATTTCCACATCTTAAACCCAGTTTGAGTGTGGTGGTTATGTGCTGACGAGACCGGTTCTGCCCATCGGGGTGTGGGGGCAGGAATTACTGCAAGTTCTAATGCTTTTTTTTTTTCTCCATTAAGGGACTCCCAGAGAGAAATCTCCCCGCCAAAAGTAATTGAACAGTGTTTCCCATGGGCCTTGCTGCTAAGGCAGGAAGGGAGTTGTAAAGTAATGCTCATTATTTCAAAATATTGGGGATAAAATTACTGGGACAAACAGCACTGGATGCACGCAGAGCCCTGTTTCACTCGGTCTCCTGTCAGTTCAGTCATTTGTTTCCTTGCCATATCTGAGGCTGGGCCAGACCTGCCTCTATCCTTAAAGCAGCTCTTTTCGCTGCCACTGTTCTTGCTCTTCCCATCCCTGTAGATGAGGATTTTGGCATGTCTGAGCCCCTGACTGGCACCTGGGTGCTGCTGTCCATTGTGTTATTCTGCATTATTCTGGGCACTGTTTGCTGTTTTACTGCACATTGGGCAGTCTGCTGCTTACTGCAGCAGAAGGCTGCTGATCTTTACTCTGTTTTCTTCTCTGTCACTGGTAAAAATTGAGCCCTTTCTATATTATTTGTAAGCCCAAGTAGCAGAATCTCAGTAAGATTAATCAGATGTGTAGCTATTCAAGTTTATGGGCTGCTCTGCCCTATAAATCAAAACCAGTTTAAATTTGAAGCAGCGGAGCTTAGCCAGCATAGGAGCAAGATCCAGAATAGCACTTAGATATCTAATACACAATTTAAGCAGAACCTACGCTCCCAGTCTAGCAGAACAATAAAAGAAAATCCCTGTCCACTTTGCTTAGGCGCCACGGAGGCTGTAAGTGCCTGGATTTGTATAGAGAGCTGACTGCAATCCAATTGTCTCCTCCCTTGAATATTTCTGTAGCTTATCCAGCAGCTGATGAAAAATACATAAACAGTCCTGGCAACGGGATAAACAGCCTCAGCCTTCCTGCTCCATAGCTGAGCTTCTAGGGCTTGGGGTCTGGACAAAGGTTCCTTCTGGCCTTGAGTCTTCTGCCTTTTTGGCAGCACAGGGGTGTAGTTTCGGAAGAAATGGTAGCGGGGGTGCGTGCTACTGATCCTTCTGGGGTACAGTTATGGGATGTTCTCCCTGGAAAGGCTGAATCTGTTGGGTTGGGGTGAAATTGAAGCATCTCCTCAGGGTTGTTTGAAGTGTTAAGGTATGTTTGCAAGGTGTAGGTGCCTCCCTCTGTTCCTCAGCAGCGTGTAGTTACAGCGTCCTTCCACTACGGCGTGTGGCTAGGTGAGGGAGCACAGAAGATGTCAGCTGGCAGCAGTGGAGGAGCGATGTTCAGAGCTGTGTAACACATCTATACAAGTGCTGCTTGCAGTGTTTATGTCTGAGGCAGGGAAGTGTTTCTTGAGCTCAGTCGTGGCTTTTTTTGCTTACTGACAGAGGCTGAGGTTGCTGGCAGCCCCACTGAGGCTTTTGGTTGCAGATGTTCTCTACACCTGGACTGCAGCAAAACCAGCTCAAGCTGAGGCTGTGAAATGGCTTCAGAAGATCTGCTCTTTGTTCTTCTGTCACTTACTGGCTTTAAAAACAGCAGCTTCCTGTGGAGCGGTGGCAAATTTGAGTGGGGTAAATGTGCGCTGACCGACGTGCGCACTTAAGGAGCACCCCACTGCATGAGGCGTTTACTTTGAGCTCTCTGGCTCCCTTTTTAATTACTGTAATATTAAGATGGATCTCCTTGCATCTAATCACGATGCTTATTGCCCTCTAGGTGTCCTGTCTGTAGATATTGCCAAACGCCTGAGCCAGTGGAAGAGAACAAGTGTTTTGAGTGTGGAGTTCAAGAAGTAAGTAGGTGGGTGGATGGTGAGTGAGATCTAGACTAGATCTGACTGCACAGCTGCTCTGGTTGCTTTGGGGGTTAATCCTGTGGCTGATTTTACCAGTCAGTGCTGTATCTGCTTTCCTTTTGAGTTGGAATCAGTACTGGGAAGGGATCTTGCCTCCCAGGTTTCCTGTTCTGACAAATGCTTCTGGTTCCTAGAGAGAACTATTAGCACGTAAGCTGATCAGAGCGTGTGTGATAAGGTATGGTAGGAGGCAGCTAAACTAACCCTGAACTTGGTGGTCCCTTCTAGTCTCTGCTCTTCAGAGCCTGCTTTTGGGGTCCTGCTGAGGTGCCTTGTTCATTAGTCAAGGCCGTTCTTCCACCCATGCTTGTGATAATCTATCACACACGCAGCACCTGCAGCTTGCAATTGGCTTGGATGAGCCGGTACCTCCTTCTCTTTAGCTTTCCAGCTGAGCAAGGCTTTAAAGGAGGGGGATAAGCAACCGCTGTTGGCTTCCCAAGGAAGGGAGTGGATGTGCTCAGCATCAGCAGCCCAGCGGTGTCAGGCCGCGTTTTCTCAGAGCGTCGATACCACCACTCGACAGTGTTGTATGTACAAAGCTTTCTCCTTCTGCTGGCAGAACCTGTGGATCTGTTTGATCTGTGGGCACATAGGCTGCGGCCGGTACGTGAGCCGACACGCTTACAAGCACTTTGAGGAGACCCAGCACACCTACGCGATGCAGCTGACCAACCACAGAGTCTGGGACTATGCTGGAGGTGAGCGCTGTGTCTGCCCTCTCCTGCAGGATGACCTTGTTTGTAAAGCAGCTTTCGGGACCCCTTAGTAAGGGTACTTGTGAGAGATGAGGGTTTGCATCTGTACTGATACCTTGTCTTTTGGGAACATCCATCTCCTCTCTGTTAGCAGTTTCTGTGGGTCGGTAGCAGATGGAGGAGGCAGAACATGGTTCTGTAATGATCGGGGGTGGTCCTGTAGTCTCTGTGGAATGTGTTTGTTACTCCCTTTCTATCAATTTGCCCTGAGGTATGGGAATGGGCTGTTGTAATAAATATCCTGTAAGGTGTCTGTGCGAAGTCTGCTAAATAACAAATACATCTGTTGTTGGCTTTCTGCCTCGCTAATGTGCTGGTGCAGCAGTCTGCATGCTTAATTGTGCTGCATAAAGTATTTCCACTGGTGTCAACCTGGGTGTTCTTAAGCTAAAACTCCCTGTGGTTGAATTTTCTCTCTTCAGATAACTACGTCCATCGACTGGTTGCAAGCAAAACCGATGGGAAGATAGTTCAGTATGAGTGCGAGGGAGATATGTGTCAGGAAGAGAAAATTGATGCCTTACAATTAGAGGTAAATATTTTGGCTTGTTGGACTCTGCGTTGTGCCGCTGTGCAGAAGCGTTTCAAATCCAGATATCACTACAGGACAATTACATCAGCTTATGCAGCAGCCCTGCTCCCTGCGTGTAGGCAGTCATCTTCAGGCAGAAGCAGGATGTTTTTATTGCCTTTAAAAAAAAAAACCAAAACAAAAAACAAAAACCCAAACCTCTTCTTGGCTCTGCAGAGCCAATGCAGTGAAGTGTGAGCTGGCTGCGGTTTCTCCCTGTGTTCACTGGTGGATTGAAGATTATCTGGTTACGCTGCTGCAAACACTGAGGTCACTGGAGAGAGAAACGGGTCCCAGTGCCCAGGCTCGCTCACCAGACCCTTCCCGGTGGATCTGCACCTTGGCTGGGGAGCCAGGATGTGTATGGAGCTGTCAGTGTGGGTAATGCAGCTTGTAAACTGAACAAGGATGTAGGAATCCATAGCTGTGTGCTTTTACCTCGACTATCAAGGAAAGCTGACAGGCTCCTCTCATAGCAGCCCTGTTCTGCTCCCTTCTTTTGAACAAATGATGATTTTTTTTTGTTCCTTTTTTTTTGTACCTGTTGGCCAGCTTCTCCTCTCCTAACCAGAAGGGTAAAGGAGAGAAACTCGAAATAACTGCTCCACTGAGCATGATTTCAGCCGCATTAGACACAAGGGTGTCTGAGGAGGAACAGCCCGTAGAGACCAGACTTCCTAAGCTTAGTGCTCTAATAAATACTTGGTTGCTCTTCTGTGGGTTTTCTCTCTAATGCTTGGATGCTAACCCAGGTATTTTAACTCTTTTTTTCTGGGAGGTTGATATTTAAAGTATGTAAGACCTCTCTATCCGTCTCATGAGATCTCAATGTTTCTTCTAGAGAGAATGAATTTGGCAGTGTATTTTGGCACTCGGATATTACTGAGAGTGTTCAAGGCTTTCTGCACATGTTTAATTCTGTAGTGAATGCCTAATTTGGTGCTTATTAGCCTGATTATAAGAAATTATCACATTTTCCAACCGTCTCATAACTCATTTGCAGAACCAGGAGGGAAAAGATGGGATATAAGACATATACCCTTGTTCAGATGTCAAAATAAGATTGGAGTGGGCCATACTTGTTGGAGAACAATAATTGTCGTTCATTACATGTGGCTGAGGATGCTTTCCAGAGATGTTCTTGCAGTGAAGCACTTATGCTTCTGCCTTGGGTTTTGGGCTGTGAGTGGGGAACTCAGCAGCTCAGCCTTTGGGATCTCAGACTCTCGTGACAGGGGCGGTTGATTTTCCTTTAGGCTATAAAGCTTGCAGAGATGAAAATTCTGTCTCGTCTTTAAAAAGTTTTTGACATTATACTGGGTACGGCTTGGTGGAACTTTTACCTGTTCCTTGCCATTGCGCTGTGAAGGCTTGCCCGGAGTTAAAAAGAAACTGAGTGATTTGATTTTGAAATCCAATTGGTGAAACACATCTGCTGGATCTGCAGTTTGCGCATCTGTTCAGAGTGTCCTGGATGCTTAATTTCATCTGATTAAATTGATTTGTATATTGGAGCCCTTCGGGCTCCTTAATCAGCACAGCCACCCTCACGGTGAAGCTGACTGGTCCTCGTGTCTCTCCTGTGTTTACAGTACTCGTATTTGCTAACCAGCCAGCTGGAATCGCAGCGCATCTATTGGGAAAACAAGATTGTCCGGATAGAAAAGGACACGGCGGAAGAGGTGAGCTCTGCTGAAACGGGGCCCTGGACACCGTTTGGTTAAACGGGAGATGGGGCTGCTCAGCACAGCCCGAATGTTGCGCGAGCGGCCTCGCGTAGCCCGTTTCCCTACCAGCTGAGAAAATTGGCTCCAAGACGTGTCCCTTATCTCGATGCTCAGATCTGGCAATTTGCTGCTCAGTGGTGCAGAAGCAGGTAGATTGCCACCTAGATTGAAGGTTGATTTAAATGTGCTGCTCGGGAAACTGCAGCAGCGGTGAAAACAAGTCCGTGCGGCTGCAGGTTCCCTGCTTGGCGATGCCATCCGTCTCGCCCTGACGTGTGTCTCTGGGGAAGGGTAGTGTAGCATAGACAATATGACTTTAATTTGCTCGGCTGCAGAAAGTGGTAGCAGTCTTCCTGCTCCAAATGCATATTGATTTGCCCTTTCTTTTTGATCCCCTATCTCTCCTCATCACCCTTTGGGAGAAGTTCAGAGTCTCATCCTATAAAGCGTTTTGTGGGCAGGGCTGCTTCGAAATGTCATGAGCAAAAATCCAGCGAGAATATTTTAATGCTTTTTTCACTCTACGTAGATCCTTTCAACTAGCTTGAAAGTGAGTCAGGATTCAGGGTTGAGTCCTTAACTGAACCTCCTGCGTGACTTCTAATTAACCATTTAGTATCTGCAGTTAAGTAGCATTGTAAATGTAGAAACGATGACTGTTGAAACAGTGATCATTGACCTTGGTCTAAAGAGCAGCCTCAGAAATCTTCTGGAGGGAGCTGTAAGAGGAAAAGGTACAGCAAAAACCGCATGACCAGGAAACATCCTCAAAGTAACTTCTAAGTGAAACGTGTGACGTGTGCCCCAGATGTGGCTCATGTTTAAAGATCCTCAGTTTTACTCACTTGCTCCGTGGGAGTCCTGCCTGGATCGGTGCCACCGTGCAGTGTATTCCATTATCAGCGCTCAGGCTACTTCCCCAAATTAACCATCAGCTGCATAAACATTTGGTGATTAAGGCCGGAAGGCTTAAAACCTGCTCTGCATTGACTCTGGCACCGCTGAAGGCACCATGTGTGCTGACGCTGACGTTTGTCCAGATTGCTCCTCCAGGAAAACAGTTTTCCTTTAAATTCCCCACTCCACTACATGCAAGCCCACTTTTGTCACTAGTATAGGGGAAACGGGTATTTCTGTCTATAAATCTCCTGTAAGTCTTACGTTAGAGGCTCCGACGTGGTCTGAGCAGTGCCGGGAGAAGGAGAGCTTGGTTTTCCTCAGCAGCAGCAGCCTGGAGTTGAGAAGAGGGGAAGAGGAAGCCAACATACGCGTGTTTCTGTTTGCGTTTTGCATGAGTAAGATATTCGTGTCAGTAGGTCACCGCCTTATGACAGCGAGCTGCTGAGTCAGTGCCGAGCAAAGGAGCATGTTCATTTTCAGACTTTGACCAGGCTTCCTTGAGGTTTAATTTAAAATGAGAAAAAGCCCGACGTTGTAAAGCCTTAAGATGGAGATGGAAGTTTGCTGACAGACACAAAGAAGTCTGGAGAATGGGTAAATGAATGTGTAACCGCAGTCAGGGAGAAGTTACAGCCCTGGTGCAGCTTTCATTTGAATGGGGTGCCTGGCGCAGGTTTGCAGCCTGAGTTGCTGTTGTGTGTGAGCAGCTTCCACGGCAACGTGGTTCCTCGCTGGGGTACTGCAAACTGTAAATGCGGAGGGGTTTCGGCAAAACGAAGCCCTTTTTTTTCAACTTCACTGGATACAGTAATTGGTCAAAGTCTAGAAACCACTGCAGAAAAATTGCATGTCCTAATGAAGGCGCAGAGGACTTTGATCTCTTGGAAATGCCTGTGTGTTTGTTTTTACAGATTAACAACATGAAGACCAAATTTAAAGAGACCATTGAGAAGTGTGACAGTCTGGAGCAGAGGCTGAATGACTTGCTCAAAGAAAAGCAGTCTGTCGAAAGGAAGTGGGTACTGCTGCCAGGTTTAGTTCCGTGCAGCCATTAAAACTCTGCGCACTGACATCCAAAAAGAAAGAAAACCTTGCTATTCCTGGGCAATTCTGAGCTATTTAAACCGGTGTATTGAGAGCACAGCTTATTTAGAAAAGAGCTCTCATTCCTGTAGGTGTTCACAAATGGAAAGTGCCTGTTGAGTGGAACACAGCTTTTGGGCTTTTGGCTCTTTTTACATGGTCTGCATATTTAGCATTCAGTAATCCTTCCTCTGCCTGCAATTGGCAGATACATCCAGGGAGAAGAAAGGCAGCTCAGCAGAGGCGTCGTGCCCGGCACACAGCAAAGCGTAGATCTTAGGAGGTGCCCAGATGAAAGATGTGAAGCGTGGGGACCGCACGGATCAGGGCTTTGGTGGGACGGGGGCTCTGCTCCTCCCAGCCCCAGGCACTGCTGCCTCTCCTGCAGTCCTGGTCGGAGCTGTGGGTCACAGCTCACCTTGCTGTGTGGAAAGGAGTCTGTGTGTGATGCCAGCAAACTTTCAGAGCAAAAGCACCGAGTTCTGAGGAGCAGGGAAGCGCTGTCTGTGAAACAACGCTACCGATAGCCTTGTGGGAGAGTCCTGCTTCTGAGGGAAGTGCTGTCCTCAGGGTCTTGTGCTCAGAGTGTGGCTGGAGCCAGTGTCTGGGAGTCCCTGACTGCCTTTGGCTCTCCAAGGACCCCATGTAACCTCTGTACCCTTTTCAGCACATATCCCAAAAGTTGCAGACGCGTGTCCGAGGTTACGGCCCAGTGCTCTCAGACCTCCTGCCTGCTGCAGGAATTTCCTACCTTGCCAGGGAAGGGATCCTCCTGGGTTACGTGGCCTCAGGGACCAAAGGGAAGGATCCCACATCACAACATCTTGTTCCATGTGCAAGTGGGTGCTGGCAAGCCCTAAACCGAGTGGAAAATCCTAGGGGATTTCAGAGTCCTCGTGTTGCTTTGCCTCGCATATCTTTTGCCAGAAAACCCAGTTCCAGGTGGGCTTGGTGGGGCTGGGGAGAGCTGGGGGTCCGTTGTCCTTAGGAATGGAAATCAGACGGATGCAGCAGTGTTTGATCTTGGTGTTGCACACAGCGTTCCTGACTTGCGCTTCTTTCTGCAAGGTGTTCGCAGCTGAATAACAAAGTGGTCAAACTTTCCAACGAGCTGAAGGAGGAGCAAGAACTGAATAAGTGCTTGCGGGCGAATCAAGCCTTGCTCCAGAACAAACTGAAGGAGGAGGAGAGGGTGTTGAAGGAAACCTGCGAGCAGAAGGACCTACAGATCTCTGAGATCCAGGAGCAGCTGCGGGATGTCATGTTCTACTTGGAGACACAGCAGAAAATCAACCACCTCCCAGCCGAGACCCGCCAGGAGATTCAGGAGGGACAGATCAACATCGCAGTGGCGTCCTCGGCCAGCTCCGCCGCGGGGGGCACGGGCAAACCCTCTGCCAGGAGAGGCCGTGGCAAGAGGGGCAAGTGAGAAGGGGAACGCTCCCATCCTGAACCCGGGACTCCAGCTGGGAACGCCCAGCTCACTAAAGCTCAGCTAGAAATCGTCTTCAGAGCTGCTCATAAAACTGGCTGCCAGTCAGTGGAGGTGTCTGTGGTATTTAAAAGCATTTCACTGCACTATTTAGCTGTTTTTAGGCAGATCTTTATGACCATTTTGCCTTCCTACCTTTTCAGAGCCCCTCCTCTCATGCGTTTGACTTTGGAGAGTGTTGTTTTGGGGTGGGTGTGTGTGTGAACATCGCATTCCTTAGGGGGATGCTGTAGAGTAGGCTAGGCCCAGCGTGTGAGGCTGCTCCAGTTCTTCTGGATGAAAAGTATTCTCAATTAAGAAATTATTTTATTTAAGAAACACTGTAAATTAGATTATATACATCTCCTTTTAGTGCGTGCAGTCCTGACGCTGCAGAGCTGCTAGTGCAGGAGTAGGACTGTAGTTTGGAAATATAAAATGGAGTGAGGTGTGGAAAATAAACCATCTTAGTGGTGTAAGAAACTGAACGAGTCCTACAGGCTTGTAATCTGGGATATTAAATGCTTTAAGGGACTCTGTTATCTCATTCTTCATTTTAAAGCTGAACTTGGCAAGGCCAGCGCTTCCCGCCTTTGGGGCAGAGAGCATGGAAAGGTTTATACTGTGGAAACTTTACCATGGCTGTTTTACAGGCGTTTCTGCAAATAAAGCAGAGCCATTTTCGCCAAGGCTGGCACGCGTTGCGATTTAACGGCCACCACAGTGTTCTGGTCCTGGAGGTGTGAGCTCCAGCGCTGCAATCCCCAAAACCAGGGGAGGAGAACCACACAATGCAGCATTTTAAAACCTCCTTCCCCTCTGCCTGACCCAGCCTCTGCAGCTGGGGCCGGCGCGGAGCCGAGCGATGCCCCGCAGCCAGACCCTCGCCCCTCACTACGGCTGTTGGACCCCATCACTGCCATCACTGCCCCTTCTGCTCTGAAACGTGGCTCTGGCTGGCAAAAGTTGTGTGCCCCAAAGGTATGCAGATCCCGAGAGGGAAATTTGAGGACAAATCTCTTGGTTTTATGGGGTTTTTCTGTTGGTTTTCACTTATGCTAGGGTTTCGGAGAGTTTTACCCCACCTGGAGAAGTCAGTCCTGGTTGCTGTGTTGCGCTCTGCAATCTGAGCATTTAAAGGCGAATCCTTTATTAAAAATGGAGGGGGTGTCCCTGCTGTCTCTTCAGCCACGGCACAATCCTCTCCCGTTGTCCGAACTGCAGGAACAGCCACGCTCGTGGTCTGTAACACGGACAACGCAGCTGCAACCTGGAACAAAGAAATGCAAACAGCGAATGCTTTCTTGCCAGAGGTTGGTCTTTTTGGCCAAGTGAAAGGAAGGTGTTAGGATAAATGAGGGGCTCCCGACTTTATGGGCTGGAAGCGTTGAACTGGTGTTGAAATGCAGGCGCGTGTTTGTGAACTCGCTTGGGTCTGGAGATCTGCCCCCATCGCCTGAACTGCCACCTTTTCTAACTTTGTAGCATGAATGTACACTAACTCTTTTCTAGTGTGTGGATTGTACAAGCAGGCTCTGCCTTCTGTAAATGATTCTACGGACCTAGAGATGTACAACACGGCTTGCTCTCCTATAGAAACTATTTTATTTAAGATATATTTTTACACCACCTAAGATCCTCTGGCCTTTTGCTGAAAGCTTGCTTTGTGTAGAACACTAAGATGCTGTACTGTATCTTGGACTTCATTTTCAAAAAACGTGATTGAAAATTAAAACCAGCGTGCAGTATTTTTGTTTGTGTGTTCAACTGGAAGCGGAGGGAGGAGAGGGCAGGGACAGCAACAAAACGTGTGGGTTATTCTTCTTGAAGTCTACTTTTGAACTGGAAGAGCTGTCCAAGCGAGCTCTTTGGCCTGTTTGGGGTGGGGGGAAATTTGGGGTGGCTGAGGCAGCGTCATTGGCTCTGGCTCATGAGAAGTGGGCAGCTCATGCAGAGAAAGCAAGACGAATTGAATGTTTCTGTGTTAAACCACATCATCCTCAGCCCTCGAGTCCCTCCCAGCCTCTCCTGAAGCCACCCCAGCTGGCGAGCACCCTTCGGTGTCCATCTGGGTGTCTGGTCACTGCTGGAGCTCAGATGTCCCCATGGTGGGACCACGCTGTGCCCGGCAGCTGATGTGGCTCAAAGCCCACGCGTGATAAAGGGAAAAGTCCCTGCAAAGGCTCCTCCTTACCCATCACCCCAACACCCGAGTGCCTGGAAAAAGTGGCACCGCTTTGGCCTGCGGTCAAGCTCGGCCATCGGCGCCTGGAACAACCGGTCAGCTCTGTGGCCGGTGACTCAGTGTCACCACAGCAGAAGGCTGCAGCAGCAGCAAACTTCACCCAAGCACTGGACAGCTGAGATTGGCCAAGCTCCTGCTATGATTAAAAGCCTTAGAATATATTTATTGCTTTTGAAATCATGAAAGAAACACATGTGTGTGTCCCGGTGAACAGCAAAGGGGTTTCACCATCCCTGCTGGGGTGGTACCAAAGCTCTAAGACACAGCCTGCCTTGGCACTTGCTATGTGCCAGTAACGGAGAGGAGGTGGAGAAACGGGGGCCCTGCTCTCCCCTTAAAGGGCGAGAGCACCCACCTGCTCATGCCAGGAGGTCACTGGGGTCCATGGGATTTCAAACAGCCACAGAGAAACCCAGATGGAGCAGGGTGACAGCCAGGAGTGGCGCGAAGCTTGGCAGAGTCTTCGGTGCTCTGAGGATGCTGCAATGATTCACTGGGGCAGTTGTTTCCAGAAGGGCGGAGGGGAGAGGTGGTTACGTGGGGTGACGGGGCAGCACGGCTTCTCGGCGGCTGGGAGAGCAGCGCCTGCAGCCGGAGGGGACTGAAAGGGCCGTGTCCCCCTGCGTGGAAGGGAAACGTGGGGAGTTCAGGGTGAGCTGGGCCCAGGTCTGGGGCCCCTCCAAGCTGCCACGTTGCCATCCTCCGCCTCCTCCATTTACCTTTTCACCGGAGCCCGATTCCCCAAGGCCCCGTGGAAAATTCCTGCCTTGATCCGCACCAAGTGACTTGTCTGTTCATGTCTGAGCTCCGAGAAATTCACACTGATTTCTCCTAGGCTTTTCCCCCCTGCCCCCTTTTTTTACATAAATGGCCATTTTGGTTTAATAACTGTATTTTAAAGGTAGATACATCTGGCTGGGCCAGCTCCCCACAGCAGGTCCTGCACCAGGATGCTCAGCAGCATCTGGAGAGCAGTTTTTGGGGACAGGGGGGACATTTATGCATTCATTCTCCAACCTGAATTTCCAAACCCATTTCCCAAGGCAGAGCCAGCTCCATGCACGGGGTTACCTCCGCCTCCGAGGGACAACAGCGAAACAGCGGCAGGTTTGCTCGAAGCAGGAAGCAATCAGTGATGTTTGCTTTCAATTCAAGCCCAAGTTACGGGCCCACACCTAACACTTCCTGCTCCTGCACCACCCTTGAGCAAACAGTATTTATAGCAGCCAGCAGCATTTATAGCCTTGCCCCTTCTTGACCTGGAAGTAATTGGTTAATTGAGTTAAGACAACAAAACCTCGAGATGTTCGCATGGTTTCCTTCCAGCAGGGAGCTGAGGAGTCAAACCCTTTCTGTCCCAAATGGGTTAAAAAAACCTCAGCGAGGACAATGTTTGCTTGCCCCCACAGGAAATTGGGCCCTGTTGAACTTTCTTCAGGGCCAACAGCTCCTACAAAGCTGCTGCACCTGAGGGGCTGGTGCTTTGCTGGAGCTGGAGCAGGCTTTGGGGTAGGTGGGGGCTCTTTGGGGGGTGTTTCTGGGCTTTGTTCTCTGAGCAGAAGTGCATGAACTCACTCAGAGGCAGATCTGGGGGTTTTGTGCAGGTTTAGTAACGTGATGGTGCTGTGGGTGTAGGGGTTATCGGGGTTTGTGGGTTGGGGGCAGGGAGCGAGGAGAAGCTATCGTTTCACCTGCAAGTGCCTTGTTCCCAACCCTGGGGTCGTGCTGGGTCCTGGGTGTTCCTCCTTATCTCAATTTGGTACTTGAGTGGCAACATTTCTCTCCTGCATGCTGCTCATGTGGTTGTGCTTTTAAAAGTATTTAAGTGGAGCTGTGAAGCCCCTGAGTTTGTGCTTGGGGGTGCACAGGGGCCTGTGCTGGGCAGGGAGCTCTGGGTGCTCCACCTGATGCTGGTGGAGGTTGTAAAATGTTCCCCAAACCCACCTGGCTGCCCCAGCCCCAGTGGTCAAGCTGCCATTGTGTTTAATGAGGGCCTTCTCCTGGAGGTAGACTGCAACTTGGCTGTTTTTCTTGCCAGTTATCAGTGTCCCTGTGTGGTGGCAATGGCCTTGGAGGACAACATCAGTGTGGGGACGTTCCTTGGTTTTCTGGATGCAAAGGTGATGTTCTTGGTGCCTGTTTCAAGTCCCTGCCTCTCTCTTCCCTCACGTCTCTATTTCTATGTGTCTTTGTGTTATTTATTAGTCTCTGTTGAAGTGTGATGCTTTTTGGTAAGGAAATGTTCCTCCTGCCCTGTGAAAGAGGGGTTTAAGTGCGTGGAGGAAACCACTTCGGTGGGCGAAGACCCTCAAGGCAACTTCATGGTCTCTGTGTCTGAGCTCTGTAAACCAAAAATGAAACTACAGTGAATCTGTTTAACATCTGAAACGTGACCAGATCTCCCAGAACAATTCCTCTGTGCCACTGGTAATCTTAGTCCAAGCAGCATTAGCGTAGGCTGGAGAAACTCCGAGTGCTGCTGGCTTGAATCTATGGTCTGTGTGGAGTCCTGGTTGGAAAACCCTCTGCTGGAGTTTCCCTCTGCGAGTGCAGGGGTTGCATGAGAAGCAAAGAGGGCTTTTTCCAAGCAATTCTTTGTGGTAGCTTTCAAATGTGCTCTGGGCTTCACTGGCACGAAGGAGAAAACCCACCTGGGTCCTGCATGCCCAGTGAAGGAGCCCCAAGTGTGGCCCTAGGAGCTCCTGGTCTTCACCCCTCGCTGATACCCCCTGCACTTCATCA